CATGGCCGCTCCAGCGCCGCAGAGAAACTTGGTCACAGCTCATCACCCACACCGAAACTGACACACGAGCTGAAAGAAGGAATTTTCTGTGTTTTCATTTGTGGCCGGTCGAGCGGTTCAGTTTGTCCTTGTGGCCTTTGGGAAGATAGAGAGAGAGAGGAAGGATGTGTGGTGGTCAAGCCAGTGGGATGTTATCTCATCTCCCTTGGGTGGCATCCAAGTCTTTTGGGGTCTGATGAGGAGGGGAGAAAATTAAACGGCTTGCTTTTGTTTGGTGTTGGAGGATCGCGGAAGAGAGGAGAATCTTATACAGCGTGAGTGAGTCAGCTTATACGGCGAGTATTTGTGAGGCCATTCAGAACAAAAAAAGAAGCGGGTCATCAACTTTTTTTTCAGCACCTGCGATATTATCTTTCCAACCTCCGCCTGACCTTGATAAGCCTCCGCCTTTGAAACTCAAACCCTGAGAGACATTTCATTCTCACCTCTGAAGCATGCAAGTGTCACTGATGCTGCTTTTCCCGTACGGCAGGCATCATTACGCCTGTGTAGGAACCACAACAAAGCTCCTCTTCTCTCTCAGGGCAAGAGAGAGCAAAGCTGACGCCTTTCCAGTTTTATTTTCACAGCGTCGAATAACAACACCTCCACAGGACGACGCGTCAAGCAAACTTCTTATTGCTACTTTGTTTGGATTTTTGACCACTTTTTTCAGCAACACGTTTTCAAATTCATGTTGTCCCATGTCATTACCTATGCCTACATCTGTTAAACCAAAATTCAACAAGCTGCATCTTCTTTTTGGATTTGGATCAAACCAGCACAAAATGGTAAAGACTACAAAATATTTTGTGTCTGACAGTATCTCCGCAGATATTAAAACAACCTTTGATAATCTGTCCTATCTGAGGACATTTGGTTCTGACCCTAAAGCCTGAAACAATACAAGGATTGTTTTACTTACACAAGCCCAGATGCAAAACAACTCGTTGCTTCTTAAAAGACAACAAAAGTTTAATTTAGACTAAAACAAGCAATCCATGAACTGGGAAATCAGCTCATTGTTTTAGAACCTCACCGAACTTGAATAAACCTTAAAACAAGCAAAATGTCTGTCGGCTAGCAAAAATATCTCAGGAACCAGATGGACTTTAATGAAAATCTCAGAAAGTAACCATCTATACAACTAATTAAGTTTTAAAATCCATATTTGCTGCTCAAGCTAATTGATAGCAAAGGCAGAAATGGTTATATTAAAGTCAGTTTTAACAGACACTGAGGCTGGTATCTAACACATACTCCTAGCAATAAAATATTTTTCTGAAATTTTTGATTAAAATTTTTGCCATACTGTAAACACTGACTGTTAGTAAAATACCTCATGAATGCAGTTTTGGATGTATTTCTACACATGATTACTGTTTGGAGTCATTCTTTTTTTTTTTCTATGTAATGTGTTGTTTATAGAACAAAAGGTTGACATTTTTCATCTCCTGTACTTTTCTGAAAAATGCAGCTTTTATGTACAGAAATACTGTTCTGCTGCATGTTACTGTCCATCTATTAAGAAAAAACAAGTTAATAAATTCACAAACATTACTGGATTTAATGAAAATGATTAAATATAAATATTAAGTAGGAAGAAAAGTTGTGCTGCAGGACTTCTGAGGCTCATCTTCATTATAGCCTAATATGCTGCATTACTGTCGTTATTTATTATCAGCTCCACCGGCAGTTTCACACAAGACAACATGTTGGCTCCACTGCGCACGCCTGAGCACTGAAGGAAAATTATTTCGCAATTCCAGCCCCAAGAAGCGCTTCTTCCGATACGGAAGATGGAGTCGGCCGCATCGCTTTTCCGTAAATGACAACATGACACCTTCAAGGCGTCGACCTGATGAATTATCCGCGAGGTGTTTTTTTTTTATTTCCTTTTTTTGCCCCATGGTGAAACTTCACTTCAAGTTGCGCTATCTGCTGGAAAGTTTGCGGCTCCTGAAAGCGCGCTGCGGCAGGACCCCTCCGCGCGCGCTCGAGCGCGAAGCGTCGCTGCTGCAGAACTTCTGCCAAAACACCGCAGTGCTTTTTTTAAAAGTTGGAAAACACTTGCCTCTTATAATCAGACATATTGTATCTATCTTACCTTTATTGCTTCTGACCAGACTGACTCCCAGACATGTATTCCTTTCTGCACCAAAAAACAAGAAAAAAAAAAAAAAAACAAGCAAACAAAAAAAGTTTTCTTTTTAATCCTCAACGGACTTCAGGTATAAAGACTCCAAACCACCTTGAGATCCATGACTTGTTCAGTCTCCTCTCCTCTCTCAGCTCTCTCTCTCTCTCTCACTCACTCACTCACACACACACAGACACACACACACACGCACACACACACCAGAGCCTGTTCTCTCCTACAGGCACCTACAAGTAAACTGAACCCCTCCAGCAGTGACATCACCAGTCACTATGGCAACTCTGACTCCACCCCAGTCCTGAGCTGATCCTACCTGTCTGACCACTTCAACTCCAAAACATTTTCCTTCCTTTTCCACCCCTTGTAGATATAAAACCAGTTTGTTTCTTTCTTTAAAACACACATGTCAAAACAATAAATAGTCTGAGACAAGTGTAAACAAACCAGCTGATGATCTGCTGACATTCCTGTTCTGGCTGATATCAGGCTGCATATGCAAATCTGCTGAGTTCATAATCAGAGCAGTGTTGTGAAACACGGCCCTGTGAACAGCTTTGCATAAAGGAAGGCTGGGCGCTGATCTAAAAACTGCACACAAAATCCCTCTTTCAAACAGCCTTGTACATTTGCCTGGAGCTCCTCTGTGGCATGATGCCAGTCTTGCCATTACCTCGATTGTTTTGGCTCAAACCAGTTTGCCCTCTTCTTTTGTCTCTTCTGACCCAGGGCAAACATAGAGACAATGGCCAGGTGTGCTGAACGTGCACCTCCAGACTCGTTTGGTCGCCTGCCCTGTTGACTTCAGAGAGCTGAAAGGTGTGACAAGAATTTTGTAACCTCTAAAAGCTAAAAAAGAAAAACCAATAACCTAAAATATATATGCCATCCATCACTCTGTCACTTGGGTTATACAAGCCTGCCTGAAGCTGCAGGAGCACGTCATAAAAGGTGATTAAAACAGAGATGGTCAGTTTGAACTGTTTGCATGTTTTCAGCTGCTTCATAAATTACTCTTGCTCGGCACATGTTGGAGGGAAACACGACAGGCAGATTTATGGGATTTATAGGCCTCAAATTTAGCCTGCAGCAAAAAGGAGGAAAGAAACAGTTTCACTGGAGTATATATATATAAATAGAAAAATCTATGATTTTATGACCAGAGAAAATGACATTTTTACATGGAAACAGCTGATTTTGTAAATGTTTGTATTTTTTTTTTCTATATGTGTTTGGGCATTCCATAAATTTTATTCAGGGTGTAATAAAATGACAACAAATCTGCAGTGAGTCATGACCCATTAAAAAACATCAACACTTCAGTTGCTAGTCAGTTTTAGGATTGACCAGAGCTTTACTTTACATAAAATAGTTAAAACACATACAGTGATGAAATACAAATAGTACCAGCAACTCAGTTGCTTCTATTTTTCCATTTAATGAAAACCTGAAAATGACAACGAATTGTGTAACCATGTACATCTTTAATAGTCATGAAAACACATCATTTCTACAAGGTTACCCAGCATCCCTTGCTTCGAAAATTCTGGTCCAGCTGGCATGCGGTGGAAGAGGGTGGGGCTTTTCAGAGTACTTTTTTCCACACTATGTGATACAACATCTATGTTAAGTTATATAACATTTAACAGTGGGCGGAGCTTATTAAACCTTCTCCAGAGTTGATTCAAAAGAAACACAACTCTTTAAGCATATAATAGGGCTGGGAAAAAACAATGACAATATATACAGTATCACGACAGACACATTATCAATATAAACAGAGGACAATAACAATATAAATAACAACATAGGCTACACATAAATCAATATCAAAAGAAAATACGTCCAATAGAATGTTGATAATTTCACTGAATATTCAGAACCGCACTGCATTCTGGGGGATGTAGGCAGAGGAAAGGCTTTAGCCAGCCGCTCTACCTCTCACAGCAAGGTTGATGACATAAAAACAAATAACTAATCAATATTTATTTATATCAGCTGATATGAAACACTTACATTTTGATACATTTTTCAGCCATATCACCCAGCCCGTTACGTAAGCAGACTTTTTCAGATATTTTCTTACCATAAATGAACTAATTTAGACAGCAATATGTTTTGATGCAATCAGTTAAACAGTTTCAGCAGATTCACATGCGGTATATGTAACGTCCAGTTTCTGTGCAGTTGTTCCAAGTCTGTTTGCCAACAAAACACAGCAGGGAGCTATTGACTCCTCTGACCACAGTTATCAAAGTTTATATAAAGCACCACAGATGGACTTCAGTTCTATGGCAGACTCCAGAGCTGAGTTTTCCACACAGCACTGCTTCAGTATAACAGCTAAATGCACCACAAGATTAATAGCTTGTTGCCAACCTAACCAGCTAGTGTACAGACTAATTTAGCGGGAAATGAAGTACGGAGAAAAAATGTTTACGCCAGGAAACCAAAAGCAATGCCCTAGAGGATACAACATGTTCAGCAAAGTTCAGGAAAATCACAGGCAAACTAAAAAAAAAATTAACTGATATTAGAAAATCGTTTGTGATAAATCCACATTTATTTCACTCTTCTTTCTTTCATGACACTCATTACTTTCCATGTGCTTTAGCATTTTGCCCACTAGTGTGGGCATCAAAGGGCAATGGGAGTCCATCTGACTGGCAAAATTACTTACATTAATAATTTGTGAAGTCCTAGTTCATATAACAAAGACGTACATTTTACAACAAATGTGTCCAGTGCTCCTAAAATTACAGTTTCTATAACCAAAGAATGTCCTGGTCTGCCTAAACCCACTGACCTGGTCTCTGAGCCTCTCCTGGTGGCCCATGATTGCCGAGGCATGGTGGGGGTATTTCTGCTTCAGGTGCTCCAGGAAGGCTTCCCTCTTCTTGTCCATATCCGGCGGCTGCATCGCCAGGATCTCTCGGGAGGTGCGGGCCCCTCCTAGTGTGTGTCTTCGAGGGACAGTCCTGCTGCCTTTGGCGTCCCCTCTTGAAGACGCCGACCCATTTGAGGACGCCTGTCGGCTGTTTAGGTGCTCGGCGTCCTCAGGGGAGGTTACTTTCAGGTTGCCTTTGGTTTGTTCTGAGAAAGCAAAGGAGACACAAGAAGATGGGGTCAAAATGCAAGCAGTGAACTTGAAACTTGTGGAAACTGGCATATTTAAAGATAAAAAATGTCTTCTTAAAATAGTGTCCTGTTGTATCGCTGCTCTCAGTAGTGGGCTTTAAATCCAAAATTCACTCAGCAATGACAAACAGTTCAAGACAATTTGAGGCCATCAGTCAGAAAGGTAAAGCGGAACTGCTGGTGAAAAACCTGCAGTTCAGCTGAAAAGCTTCACCGAGTCAATTGTCTTTTCAGGTTAATGATTTTCAACACGCCAAACAAATCCCCAACAAAGATTATTTAAAAGCAGAAATGAAGGATTGCAAAATATCTAAGACAAAGCACTGATCTGAACTCAACCTTTTTAGGTAAGAAAGCACTGAAACATTGTGTTTGGACTGAATTGGATATAAAGTGATGATTTTAAAAGTCAGCAAATGATGGTACTGAAAGAAAAAGCATGCAGACACGTGCATTTCACTATGGAAGTGCACACGTAAAACTACAAAACTGATGAAGTTATATCAACAATTTTTTTTTTATAAAAGAAAAAATGCAAAGATTGTCAGATTAACACATGAATGCTTTTCCAGTCAATACAAGCATGCCAGGGGCTGAGGGGCATTATAACTAAACCAAACAGGCCTGGTTTGTTGCATAAACATCTTTGTCTTCTTGTTTACGAGACTTTAATGAAAGATAATTTGGACTGAATTTATAATGTGAAGCATTTAAAGATAAGAGTTTTGGAACAAAAAAGTGGGAGAGAAAACAAATAAGAAAGCAAAAAAAAAAGGAACAAAGGTTTTTTTGAGGACGCTAACATAGGAGGAAAAGCAATAAGGTGAACTCATTTGCTTTCTGATTTGTGGGCAGGTATTGAGGGTTATAATGTGTAGCTTTTAGAGGCTAATGGCGGAGAATGAAGGACCTCTTCCAGGATTCAATTCATCAGTATTTGAAAAAGCAATTTCCAGGCATTGCTACTGTTTTCTTTTTAGTTGTTAAATACCTTTTGAAAGCTTAAAAGCATGCTGTGTGACACAAACAAAAAAATATTTTTTTACCATGTGTGAGAAATACAGACATTGTTCAAATGAGATTATTAGTTGTGTTACTGTTTTTGTGTATTTGACTGTACAA